AAAGACAATGTAGTGTTATTTTTCATTCGACTTTTCCCATTTCTGTAGCTGAATACTATTTGATGAAACCGTAAAGCAACATTGCTTGTAGTTTGTTTATTATATTCATGCATGATTCAATCCCCTATAGCAGGGATCATCAAACTTGTTCCTGGAGGTCCGGTGTCCAGCAGAATTTAGCTCCAACCCTAATCAAACACACCTGAACAAGCTAATGAAGGTCTTACTAGGTATACTTCAAACACCCAGGCAGGTTTGTTAAGGCAAGTAGGAGCTAAACCCTGCAGGGCACCGGACCTCCAGGAACGAGATTGGTGACCCCAGCATAGCAATCAATCTGAGTCAATAACACCTTCCATATAGACTTATTGAAGGCATCTGATGAATCTGTATTCATATCGCAATATTCATTGCAGAAAAAAAAAATCGCAATGTCAGATTTTTCCAGTATCGTTCAGCCCTATTTAGCACATCCCATACAGGTACAGAGCTTAACTTTGTGATGATTAGCTGGGTGGACTAATCAGCGCTCTCCATTATTGTCTTGTTTACTGTTGGTTACTAGGTTACAACACTACAGTCAACCACTCTATAAACTTGACGGAAATGCAACTTATTTTCATTTATTTTTTACATTTATTATATACAGTTGAAGTCAGAATTATTAGCCCCCTTTGATGTTTGTTTTCTTTTTTAAATATTTCCATAATGATGTTTAACAGCAAGGAAATTTTATATTTTTTCTTCTGGAGAAAGTCTTGTGTGTTTTATCTTGGCTAGAATAAAAGCAGATTTTAATTTTTTAAGCACCATTTTAAGGACAAAACTATTAGCCCCTTTAAGCATTTTTTTTTCTCGATAATCTACACAACAAACCATCGTTATACAATAACTTGCCTAATTACTCTAACCTGCCTAGTTAACCCTTATTAACCTAGTTAAGCCCTTAAATGTCGCTTTAAGCTGTAGTGTCTTGAAAGATATGTAGTAAAATGTTATTTACACACATCATGGTAAAGATAAAATAAATCAGTTATTAGAAATGAGTTATTAAAACTAATATGTTTAGAAATGTGCTAAAAAAAATCTGCCCACCGTTAAACAGAAATTGGGGGAAAAAAACAGGGGGGCTTATAATTCAGGGAGGGCTAATAATTCTGACTTCAACTGTGTATATACAGTTGAAGTCAGAATTATTAGCCCCTCTAAATTATTAAACCGCTTGTTTATTTTTTCCCCAATTTCTCTTTAACCGAGAGAAGATTTTTTTTTAGCACATTTCTAAACATATTAGTTTTAATAACTCATTTCTAATAACTGATTTATTTTATCTTTACCATGATGTCTGTAAAATTTAATATTTTACTACATATTTTTCAAGACACTACAGCTTAAAGTGACATTTAAGGGCTTAACTAGGTTAATAAGGGTTAACTAGGCAGGTTAGAGTAATTAGGCAAGTTATTGTATAACGATGGTTTGTTCTGTAGACTATCGAGAAAAAAATATAGCTTAAAGGGGCTAATAATTTTGTCTCTAAAATGGTTCATAAAAAATTCAAAACTGCTTTTATTCTAGCCGAAATAAAACAAATAAGACTTTCTTCAGAAGAAAAAATATTATCAGACATACTGTGAAAATGTCCTAGCTCTATTAAACATAATTTGGAAAATATTTGAAAAAGAAGAAAGAAAATCGAAGGGGGCTAATAATTCTGACTTCAACTGTATATTTAAACTTTAAATTTTAAATGTTTGATGAGGTTAAGGTATCTTGTGCTGCAGGGCTATATTTTTGTAATATTTATACAATATTCTAATGATTTTTGGCATAATAAATATAATTAAGCAAAGATCATGTGGTTTTTGTGATCCATTATGGCTGCGCGATATTGGAAATGGAAATTGGAATCTGACATTGCGATATTTTATTTGTCTGCCATATATTTTGTGATATGCGTATGATTTCAGCAGATGGCTTGAATAGCTCTATCATTAATGTAGATTGATTGGGAAATTTTAAAGCGAAGTGAATCAAACAAATTGCAAGTGAAAATATTCAAGATAGAGCAAACGCAAAAGTGAAGTAAGTAGTGCTTTATGGCTCTAAGAGTCGAAAAGTACTAATCAGACATTCATGTACAGTAATTGAATAATCAAATGTGATGTAAAATAACACAGAACAGTCTTCATTGCTGATCAACTACAATCTCACCGATAAACCGTATTTTATTTATTTTTGGACTTTTTATTACTCTATATTCATCTAAGAGCAACTCACACTGCCGAAATGTGCAAAAATGGGAATCAAGAAGTGTGTTAATATTAGTGATGTACCAAATTTTTGGCCACCTAAAAATTATCATCCAAAAAAAATGTTAAGCCATTTAATGGACGCTCTAATTTTTGTGGCTTTGGTCATTGTTGGGGTACTCTTGTAAATCTGGAAGCAACAACTTATATCTGAATATATATCTTTATCGATCAATATGAAAAAAAATTGTCATGATTGCATTTTGCCATATCGCCCAGCCCTAATCCCACTTCAACATTGCGGATACTGTGATGTGACTATTGCGAATGCAAACACTTCGATATCGATGCTGAAATTATATATTGCGCAGAATTAATCCAGTCACAGGTTTTTTAGACCTTGAATGGATGTAAAGCCATGCAGAAGACCTCTGAAAACAGTTAGAAAAAAAGCATATAAAGAGCAAGCATGAACATGCTTAAATGTTACAAACTTCAAAAGGTACAGCAGATCTCAAATGACCCAGTTACTGCTCAAAAACACCAAAACAATGAAAAAGTTGAGAACTGAAAATAGTTGAACTCAACAAACTGGTTTTGTAAATACCAGTTTAGTTAAATGAATCATGTTTTTCTAGTCCTAGCATGTACTACTGAAGAGAATCTTTTCAAGTTCACCCACTGGACTTTGGAATATTTGTTTAGGACGGTGGGCAGACAAGGAAAAAACCAGACCTAACAATGTTACACAAACTGTGCTTTGAATACAGTTCAATCATTTATTTTTTTCAAGAAACTGGTCATGTGGTGAGAGACTACAGCCTCTAAGCTAATAAAAAAAAACACGTTTACAGCAATTTTACCATCCTGTTTTCTCAAAAGTCAACTTCAGTGTAAGTCATAACATAAATCACAACTCGTCTGTTTTGGAAGTACTAATTTTGTAACAGTAATTCAGTAGCACGTTGAAATTAAAACAAGGCTTCCTGTCTTTTGCTTCACCTTTAAAGCTCAAGCTCACAAACCATTTCCCCTCAGAGGCACACGTTCACATATACATACACACAAACACCACATCACGTGAGCAGCCGCATGGGCGGGTCTGGACTATAATTACAGCTGTGATGTCATCTGCCACTAACTGTTGCCACAAAAATCTAGGTCACAATTAACCCTTTCCTGTCAAGTCAGGGGATTCCGCACACTTCGAAACAAACCATTACTACAGACTTTCCATGAGCACTTTAATGTGGTACCGACTCCCATGCAAATTTTGGAGCCTGTTAAATGACTAGACTAGGTTGATGACATAGATTTATCCAACCAATCAAACAATACAGCTTTTACAAGCAGAGGTTCTCATGTTATGATTGTTCCCACCACAACTACAGTACATTACGTCAAATGGAAGCCAAGCCAAAGGAAAGACACACTACAGAGAAATGACTGCTCTTCAAGTCTGCTTTGAAGTACTACTCAACAATTTCTGGGTAGAGCTGAGTAATTATACAACAACAGAACTTAAAGTCATCGCATGGTGAGTGTCACATCACAGCAGAAAGCTTGGCAATGCCAATCCGGTCATCCTAATACAAAGTATTTTGAGAGCAAATCAGCATGTGAAGCAAGCCATCTTCTCACGGAAAATTGGCAATTTGTGGTCGGACAACAGCAAAGCATGGCAGATGGGGGTTTGTTGGGCGACTAGTAAGCCGCACAAGCTAAATTTACAGACAATACTTTCAGGCGAGCAAAATTTAGCCATTCTTTAACAGAATACATCCGTGTGAGGTTATGTAAGACTTGATGAGTGTGTGTGTGGATTTAGTGTCAAAAGATCATACGAACCCACACAGCCTGTTCCAAATTAACTAGCACAGATTATTCAATCTAGATTAATTTAGCTAACAACGAAGCTGAAGTTAAACCTGCCATGGTGTGGTCTGAGTGCACAAAGAAGCGCTGACACCACCGGTGCTCTACTCCAACATCTAATTTCGCATATTCGCTGAGTATCATTCACTGCAAACTCTCACGCTCAAGGCTCGTCAAGTCTCTCTGATGATACTCTAGTCCATAAACACTTGGCCACGTGCTCGCTCACATGGACACACACAAATACCAGCAACGTCACTGCGCATGCGTTCGTGACCCACTAACTTTTACTCCCTTTACCTCAGATGACTGGAAACTTTTGGCAGTCCCGCCTGCCACTCTTTTCTCTGCTCCCTGGCTTGAGCGCAGAGAAAAAGGAAGACAGACAGACTGACAGACTAAGCGAGAAAGAGAAAGTGTGAGAGAGAAGGAGGCCACCTCCTCCGCCTCTCCTCTCTATGCCAGGCGAAGCTCACGCCTACGTCTCATCCAATGAGCGCAAAGCCCGGGTCTCTTTAAACCCGGGCCTAGTCCTCGCAACCATCCTCTCGCTGCGCTCTGCCTTTAGAAGACACACTAAAAACACACTGCTGCCAAACGGACCACGGCGCAGCACTAGGATCAGAAACCGAGGCCACAAACACCAAAGTCACACCTGCAGCACACAGGTGGATGCCTGAACGCAGCTGTCGCTTCAAGCCGAACTACATCTGGGCACGCATTGGGCCTGTTGAGTCACGCAAAATACACAAATCATCAAATGCAGCTCAAAATGTTACTGTTTCTGATTCATACCCATGATCAACACATCAGGAAGCAAGATCATATACAGTTGACATAACAAGACACATAGCAAGACTTTATTTAGCTCACCTCTTTAGCCAGGTTTGGGATTACAGGCTGGGTATTTTTGTCTTCAAAATATTCCACCTTCCAGGACAATCATGGAGGGAAAAAAAAGAAAGAAGGATAATCGGTTAAGAAGAATCAATAATGAATATAACTATTCAAATGATCCAAAATAAATCAACAAAACAGAAATCAACCTTGAGTCATACATGTTTTAATTATGACAGGGCTGGTTTTAATGCATAAAACAGAACAAGTTAAATATTTGCTCGAACACTGGCATTTGTATTAATAGATTACAGCCATTGTTGATGGAAAGCACACCTGCATGGAATAAAAAGACATTTAACTGTGAGCTAGTTGTTTCTGAGCCATATATTTCCTATAAACCCGTGCCGTTCAGAGTCCCCCCCACCACCTCCCCCCTCCCATCTGCCATTACTGTCCGTCATTTTTTCCCTGTGCTAATAAATATTTACCTACTCAGCCTCGCTGCCTTCGTCTGTTACTCGTCGATGGCAAGAGGTATCCCCATCAGAAGACTCAGAAGAAGCATCTTCTCTGCGTCCCCCCCACCTCTTTCCTGCTCTCTTTCTGTCCGTCTTTCTTTATCTTTCTTTTCTTCTCCCTCTCTCTTCTGGTCTCTGTCCATTCAGGAAGCCATCTTGTGTTCTTAATCCTGTTTTACATTAGCTCTCGTACGCTCTTTCGTTCTCGCCCTCCCTGCCTCTCTCTCTTTCTCTCTCTCACTTCCTCCAATTCATAGCTCGACCACATGCACACGGGAGCTTTTTTTTTTTTTTTTAAAGGCAGTGTGATCGCTATTACTGCTGCACTACAGCCTCCTCCTTCTCTTTCTTTTTCCTCTACCCCCCTTCCCCCCTCTCCAAACGCAAAAAGCTAACAGAATACGTGATGTGAATACTCCCCCCCACGCCTCCTTTCCGACCTACACAGACTCATAAATGCACGCACGGCAACGTCACGCCACTGATAGCTCACAAAGAGCGGCCATCGGCCAATCAGAGCTGAGCACGGCCACTGCTGCTAGGGTGAAACAGACAAGAGGAGAGAGAAAGAGAGAATGAGCGAGAGACACACAGAGAGAGCGGACGAGGGCGGGATGTGCTTGATAAAGAAAGAGAAGGGGGCGCGTGCTGTGAACAATGCGTGTGCATGTGCGTCTGTGCATTTCAGACTGGGGGGGAAGGGTTTCTCTCTTGCGCGCTGTGGCTGTCAATTATCTAACCCGGCTTGCCTTCCCTAAACAATGGCTCTGGAATGTGCTATCACTGAAGACCATCTGTGTCTCGGCTGCCTGCAACAACTGGACTGGACTGCACACGTGCATTTGCACGCTGTATGTTTAGTACCATAACATAGGCGAACAATGTCCCTGCCAGGAACACAAATGTCTGAGCCTCTTTATGAAGCCGGTGACACCAGATCAGCTGTTGCTGGAAAACACAAAGGATACAAGCTTATTTGTGCAGTTGTGTCAAGCAGAAACATATCCCATTATGAATATTATATCAGACTATAAGCGACATTTGTCTGATATTACAAGCAACTGGCATTGCAAATGGCATTGCAGCTGTCATTCAGGATTGACTGGCTGTGCGGAGCATGTGTGCGTGCCTCAAATACCACTATGAATACTTTAATCATTCGAAGTCTAAAACGCATCCAAGGTAGACTACAACCTCTGCTGGCCAGACATACAAACGCCTGCTAGATGGAAATGTGAGCGAGTAGTTAGGTCATTTCGAGTGCAACAAAACTGCCGTTGAAGTGTAAGCTGCACGCGCGCTTCCATTCATGAAATAGACGACAACTCCAATTGACATGAAAATGTCAACAAAATCTGAAAACGTCAACAAACATATAAACATTCAACTTCACAATCCTCAGGATTTGTCTGTATTTTCTGTACTGTAACCGGGAGCACAGCTAACGGAAGAGACATGTGGAGGACAAGACTGGAGGAAAGCGCACGCTCAGGCTTTCGAAGAATGAGCGGACGTTTGGTGACGCAGCAGTTGTGATGAGAGTGGATTACGCAGCGTGGGAGTTCCAGTAACACCATGTTCATACGCACGTGTGTGGGTGTGTGCGTGATGGCTTGCAGTATCCACAAGGCTTAGGAAGATTGCGCTGCGGCACCAAATTTCTGTTAAACTTTTCTTGCATCACAAGAAACGACGTCGACTTAATTGTTGTGGTTTCTGCACAATGGAATCAGCAAAGCATGGAAAGGGTTGCGGCGGACATGAATTCGGAACGACTGCTGCCTTCCTGATGTTATCTCATCTGTTTGCTTTGATACTGGTTGAATCACCTGGATCGTCACTAAAGTCAAAGCACCTAAGTGGTCATTAATCTCCCTTCGAGCACTCGTGTGACAGGCCAGGTTATTCAGGCTGAATCAAAGCAAATCCCCTTTAGGCTGTCTGAAAATTGTCGTAATCCTACCTGTGACCCTCAGACCTACTTTCACACGCACTCACGTGGTCTTCTCGTGGTAGGAGGAGTGAGGCTGCAGAAACATCGTTAGGGCTTCATTGTCAACAAATGGGAAAGGTCTATGAGTGTGCAATGATGGGTTAAGACATCATTGCAATAACAGAAGGATTAACAATCCTAATTAACTCTCTCCTCCCCCTATTCTCAAACAATGGCCACCCTAAATTCAACTAATCCACATTGAGTTTCTAAGACCTTACTTCAATACACAACACACACACACTTACAGTTCCGTTCAAGCTCTGGGCTGGTACTGCATACTACTTGCGAGTTTTAAACTGTGTGTTCCATTGTCATTTCAAATGCAAATCTCACGAAACTTGCAATAATTTGTCTAGACCATATTTCAACTCAAAATACAGAAAATCAAAAAATGTGATGCATAACAAAATGTGTTATGCATGTATTAGGCTTCACTTTCAGGAACATTTCCCCACAGTGAATTACTGCAGTGCACAATGAGAATAATGAAGATGATTATAGAATACAATTACACTGAAACAAAGAAAACAATGCACTATTTATTAAGTAATTTTCCTTTGGCTTAGCCCCTTATTTATCAGGGGTCGCTACAGCGGAATGAATCACCTATAACAAATACATATTGCATAAGAATTATAGTTACATAATTTTTCTTTTTTCTTTGTGCATGTGTATGTCTGTGTACTGATCTAACATAGTCTACACAATGTTATTAAAACCTGATGTTTTTGACATTGCAAGGGCTGCCTTGGGGTCCTCATATGGGAGGAAAATAAAAATACTACATGAAATGAAAGTTGTTTAATTGAAAAAAGTTGATATTTAGCCACACCATGTTGGTGTTTGTAACATCAAATTTTTTACGAAGTGGGTCGTTAGCCCAGCGCTCAAACCCTCAACCTGGAGGACCAGGATGTACGCACATACACTACAAACAATTTGGCTAACCTAAATTCACCTATACTGCATGTCTTTGGACTTGTGGGGGAAAGCGGAGCACCCGGAGGAAACACACGTGAACACAGATAGAACATGCAAACTCCACACAGAAAAGCCAACTGACACAGCTGGGGCTCGAACCAGCGACCTTCTTGCTGTGAGGCAAAAACGCTGCCCACTGCGTTACCGTGCCGCCCACAAAAGGTATATTACAGTACAAAAAATACAAAATCAAAAAAAAATTTTCGGGGGTAGCTTAATTAACGTGTTGGTGCTATTTGGGTAAGGGAATTAACTGAATAAACAGCAAAAGTATTTGCAAGGCACTTGAAAAATGTGAAAAAAATATATATTCAAAGGCCTTCATTGACATGGCTATTCCGTAAGGGGGTGGTCCACTACGATATAATATTTTAAATTTAGTTGATGTGAAATGTAGCTGTGTGAACATAAACAACATCTGCAAATGCAATATGCTCAAAGTTCAATGCAAAGGGAGACATTGGCTTTTACAGAGTTAGCTTAGAAAAGCCTACAGTGAACGAAGTTTGGGGACTACAAAAAAATTTGTCCGAGCTAGTGAGATCATAAACGCTTCAGATTATGCGCATTACTCACTCGCATACACCCTGCACAGTGAAGGGGCGTGGCCAAAGGCGCTGTAATGTTGTACTGTACCTAAGAAAGCTAAAATGGCGCCCAAATGCTGCTATTTTCACAGAGCATCTTCAGTATTTGGGCTTTCAAAGACACGACAAAAAGAGAGATGTGCTTACAATTTAACTTTAATTATGTTCTAGAGAATTATATAAAATTATATAACTTGCATTTGACAAAGGTCAGCCTCCAGAATCTATCCCAGTTCAGTGCTGGATTCAGCTAAAAACTCAAACAAGGAGCATCTCCAACCACAAAAGATGAAGTTATGGATTGTGAGCCACAACCTGTAAGTATTTTTATTTGTTAAAATTGATCAGTTACATGCATAGTTTCTAGTGTTAATTGTATGTTGTAGCGAGGACAGAAACAAGCATGTAAACAATGGGAAATGCTGTTTGGCACCGCTAACAATTTACCTACAAATTCAAATTTATCCATCAAACCCCTGTAAACATCCACAATCTTCACCAGCCCTGCACTGTACCTTTATGTGGACGCTTTCTGTGCCTTCTACCTCTTAAATAATCAACTCGCAAAAGATATGTAAACGTTTCATATTACTTACACAAGCTTATTCTGATTATATATGAAAGACACTATTTTATAGACAGATTTTATTTTAGAGAGCAGGCATGAGGTTCAGCCGTGTACCCTGTCCTGTCATTAGCTATGTTTCCATCCACCTATTTTAATGCGCATTTTGTATATGCACACAAAAATACGGTTGATGGAAACGCCATGATGCGCACAAATTTTGAAAATGCACATAACTGAGTAGGATAAACTTTTTATTAGAACTATGATGGAAACACTTACCGCACAAATTTCAGTATGCACATGAAAAAAGGTCATGTGATTTTGAGATAAGAGATCATGTGATGATCAAAATGTTTGTAAATGGACAAACCAGCAGGCTGAGCACACCATCTAAACTGTTGTTTTGGTCATTCTAAAACACCTTAGGTCTTTAAGTATTA